TGGATCCCACATGGCCAACTGCAGTTTGAGTCCCAGACGCAAGGGCTTATGAAACACACTGGGCATGTATGTGCGTGTACATGCCCAAGATTCCAGGAGGACAGTGGAGGAGAAGGGATTGTGGCATGGTTATTCCTCCCTGAAATGCTTTCTCACTTCCTCTCTCTCTCTGGTATGTGCATGCACCCTGAAGAAAAAAAAAGAATATATTGTTCTGACAATTAATGTTATTAGCAAAACTGGAAAACTTTTGTTCTTCAATTCATCTTTGTTGTTTTCTCAGTCATGGGAGATTTGATTTACATATAATGCTTTTCACTTCCTAGGCTTTCTTTTCTTCTCCCTCTTCCAAAAACAATAGCAATGAAATAAAACAGCTCCCATTATTTTAACTTGTTCCTCTAGTATGTTACATCTCCTTGGGAGTGACTAAGAGACATTAATTTTGTTCCAGAATTATTAGAAATACTTTTTAAAAGCTGACCCAGTGGTATAGCAGTTGGGTGCTGTGTATAAAGAGCCAGATCCCACATGGCTGACAGTAGTTCGAGTCCCAACCCTGGAAGCTTGAGGGACATGCCATGTGTATGTGTGTATTTGCCCAGAATCATGCTAGGGTGGAGAGATGGCAGAAGGGGGATTGTGGTCTGACTGTGCCATAATAAGAGGTGTTTTCTCTCCCTGACTTTCTGTCTCTGGTTAAAAAAAAAAAAAAAAGGAAAAATGGGGCCGGCAGGTGGCGAGGTGGTTAAAGGCGTTGTACTCCCACATGACCGACCATAGTTTGAGTCCTGGACGTGGTGGCTTTCTCATTTTCTCTCTCTGTCTTTGTCTGATGAGTGCACGTGTCTTGCAACAAATTCGAAAATAGTAATAATGACAAAATTAAATAAACAATTCCTTAAAAAAAAAAAAGAAAATACATTTAGAAACTCTACTTTGGTTACTCAGGTAGAGTTTAAGTCTTCTTTCCACCGTATTTGATCACAGCTTTGGATGCTCGAGGACTCAATATGAGGATGCAGACTAGGTGGTGAGAAGAAAATCATAAATGAAAGATATGATTTTTGGGAGTTTAAAATCTAATAGGTGCATGAAAGAAATACCATTCAAGACAGGATGTGATTAGTACTATATGAGAAGTCGAAGAGCACAGAGTAGGGAGCCTTGTGGTTCATTAAGAATATCCAGGATTCTGATGAGTGAACAAGAAGAGACTAGTGGAGCAGAGGGGGCAGCATGAGCAGAGTCATAAAGGAGGGGAAGAATGTGCCAAGCGTGATCAGAGAACACAGAATAGTTCGGAGATTCTGCAGCTAAGAATGAGGAAAGGACATCAGTGGAAATTAGAGCTAGAAAGGAAGATTAGGATGAGAGCCGAGAAAGCCTTGAAGCCGTGTCAAGAAGTCTAAAGTTGATGCTGGGGTACTAGGAACCACTGAGGAGTATGGAGGAAGGAAATATCGTGATCAGGGTTATGCTTTAGAAAAGCTCTGTAGCTGGGACCAGCCATTGGCATAATGGCTATGTTGTTGGACTCCTGTGTAGTTGACCGTGGTTCGTGTCCCAGACCTGAGGGCTTAAACTCACGCTGCACACGTGTGCGTGCGTGCCCAAGATCCTGGGCGGAGAATGGAGGAGAAGGGATTGTGGTGTGGCCATTCCCCCCGAGGGGTGATTTCTCTCTTTCTGTCTCTCTTGTCTTTTGCCCTATAGCAAAAACTTCTCAAAAAAAAAAAAAAACATAATAATAATTAAAAAAGAAAGAAAAGAATAACTCTGTAGCCATTTGTGCATAAGAGGCTGATGGAGAAAGAGAATGGGGGCAAGGATACCACTTAGGATGCTGTTTACAAGCGTGTAAGGGGAATAAGAGTGATGGTGGCAGACACAACAGACAATTGGTTAGTTTGACAGGAAGGGACAGTCATGAGAGGAAAGTGCATATGAGCTGTAATCAGCAAGTCATGTTTGTAACTGTGACTTTATTTATGTTTTGAAAGAATTATTTTATTTAATTTCCTTCCTTCCCTCCTTCTTTCCCTCCTTCCTTCCCTCCTTCCTTCCTTCTTTTTTTTCTCTCTCTCTTTCTTCCTTTCAATTGGACCAGAGAAGGACAAGGTGAGAGAGAGAGAGACGGAAAGTAAGAAAGCAAGCTGCCAGGTCCAGGACTCGAACTGTGGTCTGCCATATGGGAGTCTAGCACCCTTAACTACCATGCCACCTGCCGGCCCCATAACTGTAACTTTATAAGTGTGACTTTTGGGGACATTTTTCTAAAGTCTGGGGAAAATAATTGCAATCCAATGAGTCTCTTTTCCCTTTAATAGTTATTAATTTGAAAGGCAATATATTTTTACTCCCTCTGAACTATTTCACCAAAACTTAATGCCTTACAGTAAGAACTTCATGGGCCAGTCCTGTAGCACAGTGGTTAATTCCTGCACACATGGGCAGCAGGATCCCACATGGCCAACTGCAGTTTTAGTCTGGGCTCTGGTAGTTTGCAATATGTGCCAGGCCTATGTGTGTGCCAGCCTAGGATCCTGATGGGATGGAGAAATGGAGGAAATAGAGTTGTAGTGTGACCATGACCCACCAGGGCATGCATTCTCATTCTCTATGGATATCCCTCGTATTCTCTGTCTATAATAATAGTAATAATAAATTTAAAAAGAGAACTTTGTTTCTTGGCCCAGTCTTGGTAGCATGGGCAATAGCATACTGAACTGCAGGGATGAAAGCCAGAAAGTTGACTGCATTGACCTGAAAACACTCCAGGTATGTGGGTACCCAAGACTTGGATGAACTAGAGGGCTAGGGAAGGAGATCACAGCCTGACAAGGCCATGCCAAGGATGCCTGTTTCTTCTTTCTCTTTCTCTCTTGTGCACACACATTCTCTCTCACTAATAAAATAAATGTAAAAAAGGAAAAGAACAAAGTAGAACTTTACTTTTCAACCTGTTACTCATATTCATATATATTAACTTTGTGTTTATGTAATGTCAATAACAATAACCACCACAGCTGACATTTGTAGAACCCTTACTATGGACTACACACTACCCTAAGCTCTTTATTTACACTCGCTGATTTAATCCTCAGTACAAGCCTCTCAGATATGAAGTACTATTTGTTTCATTTTACATATGTAGATACTGAGATAAGAAGTTGTTACACAACTTGACTAACACTATACTGGAGAGCAGAGATTTGAGTCCAGGTAGGCCTGACTCCCAAAGCTATGCCTTTAGCTAATTCAACCATACTTAAAATTTGACCTTTTAGGAATTATATGTATTTTAAAGGAGACTACCAAACAAACAAACGAAAACCTAAAGACCAGAGACGGGACAAATAGAAACAAACACCAAAATGATAGATTAAACCAAAACATATCAATAATCACATTAAATATAAATGTTCTAAACACCCCCAATTAAAAGGTAGAGATCATCTTTTTTTTTTTCTTTGAGAGAAATGTTTGTTATAGTGCACTTATGTCTACCAGAAAGACAGAGAGAGACAGAGAGACAAAAAGCAAGAAACCATGCCTTGGCAGGAGGAGATGGCCACACCACAATCCCTTCTCCTCCCAAGATTTTGGGCATGTGCACGCATGCACTTGGTATGAGTTTGAAGCCACTGGGTCTAAGACTTGAGCCACAGTCAACCATCTGGGAATCCAGCACCTTGACTGCTATGCCACCTGCTGGCTCCAAGATTGTCTATTTGAATAGGGAGAAATACCAACCAAATTCTTGCATAATGGATTCTGCTCCACTACACTGACTTCTCACTAAATTTCCTCTTCTTTTCACAGTTCAGCATCATTGTGGCCTGATTCCTGAACACTACCTGGCTATGTGGAAAATATTCTTTTGACAGGTTTATCATTTACTATATATTAATTTAGATCCATTCTCTCTTGTCCCTCTCTAAGAGTTCAAGTTCCAAATGGACCAGAAGCAATAACACATTTATTATGTACTTCCCTCTTCACATTATACTAATTGGTCATGAAAACAGGCTACAAAAAAAATCGGAGAGATCTGAGAAATTATTGCATATTTCAGAGAAATAAGATGGACTTCAGATATTAGTGTAACATCAGTATCTTCTTTTTAAAAAGAATTATCTTATTTATCTTTATTTATTTATTTATTTATTTATTTTTACATTTGACCAGAGAGGGGCAAAGTGAGAGAGAGAGAGAAAGTGAAAAAGTAACCAAGCTACCAGGTCCAGGACTTGAACCACTGTCAGACATGAAGGAGTCCAGTGCCCCCAACCACTAAGCCACCTGCCAACCCCAATAACATCAGTATCTTAAGTTGAAAGGTTTCTTTCCTTGGAATGGTTTACATTTTCCTTAGTATCCTCTGGTTCATTAACACTTTTTACAATCAGGTTTCTATTTCATCTTTCAGAAGTACCAATTATAGCCACACATAAGCTTGAAACTCACTTCTACCATATTCTGTAGCAAGGAATTTAGAAAAGAGGGCAGATATAGTCATGTTCCAAAGGCATGTGGCAAAATATCTGTCTTCTTGCTGAAAGCATGACCATGTTGCCTGAAGAGCAGAATAACTCTCTGAATCTTTATTCTTTACTAAGCCCTAGATTTTGACCTTGAATGATCTGCTCCACTGAAAGCTGGTCAGCTATTTATCTTTCTTGTGACAAAATGAAGTTTTGGAACAGTTTCTTAACTTGAGCTTCTTACAAGTGAAGGGAGTGGCATGGCCTTTTATGTTCAGTTTTCCCCTCAGAACAGTAAACTTATATGGCATGGGAAGGCAGTAAGCGGCTACCTTTAACACACATTTTGCTACCAGCCTCTGTGGCTTCCCAAATCCAAACTTTTTCTTCAGATTGGGTCACGATGATATCTGACCGAGTGCCGCCTCCTGGATAGTTCTGCTTAAACAACACCCTAACAAGCACACAAACATGCAAACAGTGAAAGCATCATGCAATTTAAAATGTACTTACCAGGTTTTCGTGGGGCTCCCCAGGGACTCAGTCCTTGACGATCCTGAGCAGCATGGCATGTCCCAGACACTGAGTGCTTTAGAAAGACCCAGTAAGAGAAACATTATTTTTATTCTCTGATGAAGCAGCCATGAGGACATGGCTTCCATTTAAGTACGGAACCCTTAACCCTGACTGTAAGGAGAGGAGGCTAAGTATATTGGAATCGTTTGTAAGTTGCCCCCATCTCCCCCAGAATTGAGTGGAGGTCCTCTCCTTGGGGCAATTAGAAGCGAAGTCTCAACATCTTTTGCTTCCCTCATTTATTCTTTCCTCTGAACAAGTCAACCTAGCCCCTTCTTCAATTAATTATAATGCAGAATATAAAAACAGCTATGTGCTGATTTTCACCTACACTTAATTTTTATCCTCAAGAAAGAAAAAAGAAAACCTATAGGAAGGTATTAATCTACTTAACATTTCTAAGTACATCATCCAAAGGATTTTGTTTTTTTAATCTTACATATGCTCAGCAGAGTTACTGGCAAAAACTGTACATTTTCTTCATTTCATCCTTTCAACATCAAATAGTAGGCAGCAAAAATTGGATCAGACTTCAAAGCCTGCTGTGGGCTCCAAGTCACAGAGAGACGCCTCCATTTCACATATTGAATTCGAGCAGGATATCAAAGTGCTACCAAAGAACCTCGGGTCCTTACTCAGAAAGAGGCTCTAACATCTGTAGAGAGTGGAGTGCACAGACAAATCACCTCAGGGAGCAGCTAGCATTTATTCTCAGCAGCAAATTTCCAGGCTTTTGATTCTCTCTTCACTGTACCTCCCTGTCTCTCTACTGAACCAAAGTTCTTTAGCAAGCTGGGCTTTTGTCTCAAGGACTTCAAAATATCACTAACGGTTTCATGTTTGGATGGTCCGACCAAGCTGCCACAGACAGCTTCACGCCCACAGACCTGGACAAGTCTGAAGTAAGGATACACAGTTACTTGGAAATCAAGATGTCCAACTACCTTATTTGCAGGTCCTGCAAAGACATCACACCCTTTTGCAGAACTCCGAGCTTGTGACTGCCTAAAAAATAAAATAATAGTAATAATAATTTGTAAAGGCTCGAAAATAATAATTTCTTTCATTTAAAAAGGATTTTTTTCCTACACATATATATCCAAATATACTAAGCTTCTGTTTTACTTTTTCTCAACATAGTCCTTGGTTAAAAAGACATAGTCAGGAGCCAGTAGGTAACATGGTGGTTAAGGCCCTGGACTCCCACTTGGCTAAACACAGTTCGAGTCCCAGACCTGGCAGCTTGAAACTCATGGCAGGCACTGGCAAGTACATGTGCCCTATGGCAAAAACAAAACAAAACACCCCACAAAACCAAGATTATAACGTCATCAACCCAAGGAAATGTATCCTACTAGGTATTATTCCTACATTTATGACACATCCACAGGCTGCCTGAGATCTTAAGACCCAAGAAACAGCGCCCCCGCCCCCTTTTCTTTTTTAGGTTTTTGCCAAAGGATACATGTGCTTACCAGAGAGAGAAAGAGAAGGAAAGTGAGAAATCACCTCCCTTGCCCTCCAGGGGAGGATGACCACACTGAAATCCTTTCTCCTCCAGTCTCCTTTTGGGATTCTGGGTATGCAAGCACATGCTCCTGGCATCATTTTCAGGCTACTGGATCAGGGATTTGAACTGCAGTCAGTCATGTAGGAATCCAGAGCCTTAACCACTACACCACCCTGCTGGCTCCAAAATTATCCTTTTTAAAAGTTACATTGGGGGCCAGTAGGTGGCATAGTGGTTAAGATGCTGGACTCCCATGTGGTGGACCACAGTTCAAGTCCCAGACCTGGTGGCTTGAAACTCATGTCAGGCATGTGTTTAAGCATGCCCAAAATTCCAGGAGGAAAATGGAGGAGAAGGGATTGTTGTGTGACCGCCCCCCCGGGAAGTGATTTCTCGCTTTCCGTCTGTCTCTTTGGAGAGCATGCGTGCCCTATAGCAAAAATCTCTCTCTCAAAAAAAAAAAAAAAAAGTTATGTTGTAATTATATTTGGTTAGTGGTCACTAAGATGCTTCTACAAACTTTTCCGAGAAGTCAGCTGAATTGATGCTAAGGCTGCATATTAATCACATTAATGTTAAAGAATGCAAAATGGATTCTGTAGACAAATAAATTTGGGAAATGCATATAGTTTAAGAGGTTCTCTGGGGCCAGACAGTGACTGAGCAATAACAGAACTGGCTACATATACCTGCCAGATTGTCCACAAGTGTCCATGATCCTGGATGATTGAGACTGGGATAGAAAGTGGCAGGAGGACCCCATTGCTGGCACCGATCTCTCTCTCTTTTTCTCTCACTCTCTCCATATACGTTTAGGATGTTGGAAAAGTCATGACACATTTTTGCATTAAAAAAAAAACTTCATGACTTTTCCAATGATCCAATATATACATATAATATACATATACGTATATTATATGTATATATTAGAAGAAATAAATCCACTTAAAAATAAAAGTTTTCCCTACTGCAGAAATGATCTTTTTAAAATCGTAATATATATTTATGGTGCTGGCAGGCGGCATGGTGGTTAAGGAACTGGACGCCCACATAGTTGACTGCAGTTTGAGGCCTGGACCTAGTGGCTTTCTTTCTCTTTTTCCCTTTCCCTCTCTTTCTCTCTCTCTGTCTGTATCTGTCTGATCAAATTGAACAACAACAATAATAATATAGAGAATTAAATAAATAGTTCTTAAAAAAGAATCATAATATATACTTATAAACCCCCTAATGTGAAGGCTGGGGAGAATGCAGGGTATCTTAAGGTAGTATGACCAAAATATTAACATTTCATGAAGCAAAGTTTGAAAAAAATCAATCGTGCTGGGTCTCTGGTTTCTGCAATTAAAATCCATTGTACGAAAGTGTGATGATAACGCATGGTTAAAACAGAAGCCGCTCTTACAGCGCCTTTCATTTGGAACCCAGCAGAGTGAAAGACAATGACCAGGAAAGGGAAATCTGTGTTCTGACCTCTGTCTGAATATCCCTGATCACACATGCATGGTCACACGTACACACACTACACTCACACACACACAACATACAACCTTGGGTAACTTTCTATAGTATTCTGGATTCTAGTTCTCCTTACCTATAAGATGAGGGTAATGAGATCAATTATTCCCAGAGCCTCTTCCATTTCCACATTAATAATCTTATTCTTCACTTACACAAACAAATTCATTCCCATATATCTGTTTGTGGATATTACCTTCAAAACACATTTATTTATAGTAGATTATAAACAAAAGCCTTTTTTTCCATAGGGCACCTGTGCTTGCCACAGAGAGACAGAGAGGGAAAGTGAAAAATCACCCCTCAGGAGGATGGTTACACTGCAATGCTTTGTCCGCTATTCTTTTCTCAGGAGTCTGGGCACGCATGCACACGTGCGCTGCGCGATTTTCTTTCTCTCTCTTCCTTTCTTTCTCTTCTTTTTTTTTTTTAGGGGAGATTTTTGCTTTAGGGTACATATGCCCGCCCAAGAGATGGAGAGAGACAGAAAGACAGAAAGTTAGAAATCACCCCCCAACTGGGGATGGCCATGCCACAATCCCTTCTCCTCCATTCTCCTCTTGGGATTCTGGGCATGCATGCATATGCACCTTGCATGAGTTTTAAGCTGCTGGGTCCAGGTCTACGTGGGACTGTACCAACATAACCACTAAGCCATCTGCTGGTCCCAACTCTGCATGATTTTCAAGTTGCTGGGCCTGGGATCCACACTATGACTGACCATGTACATTAACCACCACACCAAACAAATGCCCATTTTTAAAAATAAATGAGTGCCTGGGAGGAGAGGACTAAAGTTATATGTTTATCTGTATGTATATCTGTTTATCATACGTCTCCCACAAAGGAATCACACGCCATGACGTGAAGGACTTGATCTACTTTATTCCATACTTCATATCAGCATTTAACACAGAGGCTGGTACAGAGGAAGTGCTCAATAAACATTAGACAAGTAAAGTGAATGAAAGAATGACTCAGAGCTTCCTCCAAGTGGGGCCATATAGATCAGTAAAATTACCCTTAAACATTAAATCAGCTAGAATTTATGTAGCACTTCACATTTTTAAAATTCATTTGATATATTCCATCACTGTACATCTCTGGGCTTATAAAGTGAATTCACCCAGCATGAATGAATACACCTCACACCAGTCCAGCCGAGGATACTGTAACCCGTTACCATCAACAGATAGTTCATTGGTGTCCCATAAATGTCTTGCCTCTCTAATTTTCTCCTTAATTAAAATGTTTTAAAATATCTAACGGGAGCTTCACAGCCCTTTGAGCTAAGCATCCATGATATAGGTGAAGATTTTAAGGTTCAGAGAGGTTAAGGGTTTTTCATAGTGAGTGCCTGGGAGAGCGCAGTCATTGACACATGTCTGTCTGACCCCCAAACCTCTCCTCCTCCTTGAACTATGATGTAGACCCTTTGGGCTCTGCATCAGCTCACTCCGGTCCAGGACCTTTTCCTATCCAGCTGAAGCAAGACCTAGTGACTACAGGACACCGAAAGGGTGGGCGGATTCTGAGGCCTTCTAGGGGAAAAGCTAGAGAAGAGAATTTAGGTATCAAATGACTGCTGGGTCCTCAATTTCTGCCATTCTGCCCCAACAAAGAAATAGGCCTTTTGAGAATTTCTTAGCTTGTGGCTGTTCAGGATCCAAAGGCCAGTGACAGACACCTTCCGACTCTTCGCTAGGGGTTTGTCTGCTCACCTCTTTATCTCTCCTTTCAAACTTTCGGCAGAATCTAAGCTGCTCAGTGCAATGTTTAAAGTGGTAGGGGAGTTGGGGTGGAGATGGGGATTAGGGAGTTGTGCCTACAGGCAAACAAATCAGAAAATATACGATTAAACAGAAACAAACAGGTTTCTTTCCTGAGAGCCTTTCCAGATAATGTACATGAATAATATGAACAATGAAACTCGAAGAGAGGACAAGAATGGGGAACTTTTCCTAGACATTATTTTAATAATGAACCCTTCCCCTATAGAGCGTGTTGAGGGACTACTGGTTCGTAGAACACACCTTAGGAAAAAACCGTTCTGAGCAGTCTTTATTCAAAACAAATTTCGGGTTTGCTTTTGCAAAAATGGTACAAGTCCGTTTTCTTCAGAAGTCTAACTGCCGCAACTCCTTTTTAGCAATTTCACTAGTGTGTTTTGTGGCTGTTGTCGTGTTTGTTTTTTGCCTCATGGACATGAGACTGGCAGCAAGTGGTTACTGCTCTGCAATCTGTCACCACGAAAATAAGAAAAAGCACAATAACAACCAAACTGAATACATATTGCATGCACACATGGCACGAGGCACCAGGCAAAGCATGTATACGTGGTTATCTCGTGTAATACTGCCAACAGCCATGTGGATTAGTTCTATCTATTTTTATACTCATTTTTACAGATGAAAGAATTAAGGATCAAGAAGCTAATGGCTTGCTTCCCACCGTAACTAGTAAGCAGCACAGCATACAACCTGCTGTCTACGGAAAGGAAATGCCAGAGGGAAGTTAGTGACCAGGCAAGGAGTATCAGCTGCTGATAAAACCAATAGGCAAAAGATTATGGGCAATAGGACATTCAAATGGTGCCAACGTACCACGGCAGAGTCCCTCTTTCAGGTAAAAAAAGATACACACTGGAGAAATCAGAAGGTCACCATTTTAACCCAGCATTCAATCCTAGCACCGCTAATGCTGGAACAACACTGCCTCGCAATGTGAACCACTTTGAAATAGTCTGCATCACCCAGGCTGCATTTTTCCTCCTTTAGTCAAAGACATTTAATTAAACTAATCAAGGCTTTGGCTCTAATTTATAGTTTACACAGAGTGCAGAGCATAGAATGACAAGAGGAATTTAAAAACATCACAAGGATGTGAGCAGAAAAATCCAGTGAATGAGAACCAGCAGTTAGCATAATGGCTATGTCGCTGGACTCCCATATAGGCGACCGTGGTTCGTGTCCCGGAC